TTCTCCTAGGTGCAGACCTGCTCTCCAGGTGTCTGGGGTGGTGGGGGTGGAGGAGTGGGGTGCAGGGTGACCTAAAGAAAGGCTGGCAGGTCTGTTTCTGAACTTCTGCCTGTCCTCTCGGTACAAAGATAAGACTTTCCAAGAGGCTGCACAGACTCCTGAATGCCCCCTGTTCCCATGGGATCCCAGCAATGCTGTGTTGGGGACTGCTGGAGGGAGGTGAGGAGCAGGGCCAGGGGAGAAAAACCAGGGAGCAGGGAGAGGGGCAAGAACAGTCCCTCGGGGGTCCTCAGAGACCCTGGGTCAAAGGTGCCTGAGAGCCAGAATGGACAGGGCCTTGACCTATCAGAATTTTGGAGTAAAATAATTTTATGTTTATCTTGAAAAGAGAGAACTGACTCTTATCACATGCTTTCTAGGTGACAATTTATTTATACATAATAAAAACATAATAGGCTAACTAGACTGGACAGCTGAACCACCTCCCGGATGAAGCTGGGGCTGTGAGAGTTGAGGCAAGCTGCCACTGCTGCAAGGGCTGAACCCTTGCACAAATTTCGTGCATCGGGCCTCTAGTTCATACATAACACAACTTAATGTCCCACCAAAATCCGAAGTTGAATGCCAAGAGTGCCCGTATATCCCAAGTACCCTTCCTATGTGCGTGCTGTAGGGTGGCCTCCTTTATGGTCCTTAAAGTCACTGCGAGGTGGATCCTGGGTAAGAATCCAAATGCATGCAACCCCAAGCGTACCCTGCTTGGACTAGACCTTGTGACCTTTGCTTAACCCCTGCCCTGGGGAGAAGTAGCTTGCCCCAGGTGAGAGAGCAGCAAGGGTCGCCTGGCCTGGCTGCTACCCTCATGTAGTGGGATCGTCACCGTCATGACATATTTAGGGGTGCCGGGCTTCAAGCAAGAAGACACCCATACACAAGAGTACAATCTTTAGTGAAGGGGAAATGATTCCCCCCCTAAATGGAAGAATACCTGCTTCCTACTGTGCCAAAGGGTGACAGCTTTTAAAGGTGTCTTCCGTGTAACTGCTATTCATTCCCTTTTCTTCTTCCCACATTTATTATAAAACACCATTATAGCCCAAACTGGTTTGGCTCAGTGGATAAAGCATCAGCCTGCAGACTGAAAGGTCCCGGGTTCAATTCCGGTCAAGGGCATGTACCTTGGTTGCGGGCACATCCCCAGTAGGGGGTGTGCAAGAGGCAGCTGATGGATGATTCTCTCTCATCAATGTTTCTAACTCTCTGTCCCTCTCTCTTTCTCTCTGAAAAAAAAAAATCAATAAAATATATTAAAAATACAATAAAATAAAATAAAACACCATTATATTCTGATCTCTCTTCAGATCACTTAATCTTTCACCTTTTATACTTACTTTTCATTGTTTATGCATCTCTCAGTTTTTCCATGGCATCCACGTGTTTTCCTCTTTTCTCCTGAGACCCAAAGCCTGTGCCCAGGCCTTTCATCCAAGCTGTCTTCTCTGAGCTCTGGATAACCCTAGAAGGTGGGTGGCAGAGCCCCGTTTGAGGGCCGCTGAGACTGGGCTCGGTGGCAGGTGAGGGGACCATCCATTGGGGACCATCCATTGGGTCCTCTGCGGGCACATGCAGACCATGTGCGCTTCCTGAGGTGGCATAGGTTTCGATTTCCCGCCCCATTCGGCTGCCTCTCGGGGAAGAAGTGGCCACCTGGCGAGGTGAGAAGGTCAGCCCAGCCCCGCCTGGCGGTGTGCCCTCAGACCCCCCAAAGTTACATTGTTTCTCCCGCTGCCCGCGCCTCATTGGCCCGCCGCAGCGCCTCCCCATTGGCTGCTGGTGCTGGGGACACCCCTGATTGGTCTGTGCCTGGAAGCTGGGTCTGTTTTATGGCCAGGGCAGGAGCCATGGTCCCCACTCCGGCTGGCACCAGCAGAGGCCACTGTCATCGCTGTCACTGCCATCGGGGCTTCGCGTGGCCTGCCTCCTGCCTGTCCGGAGAGCGGGGACCTCGTGTGCACCGGTGCCCGTCCCTCCACGTGTGAGTATTGACTGAATGCTGAGGTTATCACACCCTCTCACCCCCGGAAAGGTGCTCTCTGCCTTGTGGGGCTTGTTTCCAATTGAGTCAAGCTGGTGTATCTATCTAAACAGGTGACCATTTAGGTCTGGGGCCAGACTTGAAAACAAATGTTTGTATATGTCATGTTGACAACCTATATATATATATTTCTGAGAATTACTTTGGATTTTTTTTTTTTTTTTACGTGATCTGATAGGTGTGCCCAGGGTTTGAATGAATCACACTTGAATGAATGCTTAGAAGTGGTGGAAAGTTTTTCTGAACCTTATTTTCTTAAATTTGGGGAGTTTCTGTGTGTGTGTGTGTGTGTGTGTGTGTGTGTGTGTTTTAAGTCAGCTCTAAGCAGGTGTTTTAATAGGAATGCATTTGGTAATGCTTTGGTTTATCGATGAGCATGAACAAAAATATGGCATGTAGTAGGTATATACTATATCTATACTGAGTTCCCTCGATTCGCACTCCTTTTAGATTGCCCCAAACCTGCTCAGTTTTCTGAGTCAGAACAGTATATCCAGATCCGTCCCCTTGTCTAAGTCCGCCCCACCCCTCTTATGTGGTAACTGGGCAGCACCCCTTTCAAAGGCTTTTTAAGCTTCTCAGGGGTGTGTGCCTCTTACTGCGAACTGTGCCGAGAACTGAATCCATGAGACTGTAAATGGTGAAGATCCAGAGCGGCCTTTGGGGTTAGGGTGCACTGCCTGTTATTCCCTGTCCCCATGGATTTCTCTTGGTCTTCAGTTTCCTTTAGCTCTTTCCACCTAGGGCCTCTGCTCGCCCCCAGGCCTGGATAGTGCGGTCTTAGCTGTCCAGGCCACAGAACTCTCCGTGGTTTTACTGCGGGAGAAGGAGCTGGGGAAAGGGAGTGTTAGCATGAATCGCGTATGGATCGCCATACAGTGTGCACGGTGCACACCCTGGGAAGGGCATCTTCCTCGTGGTGTGCCCCACCCCCACCTTAACCCCGCATCTCCCAGCTCCTGACACGGGAGGGAGCCTGGGACAGGCGGGGTGAGGTGGAGGTCACGGGTCCCAGTTGCTGGGCAGAATGCTCTAGCGCCACCTTCTCCCCTGGCGGTGGCAGTGAGAGCTGCCCCCTAGGGGGAGCAAGTCATGGGATGGTCTGCCCACTATGGGAGAAGCTGAGGGCTGCACCCTTCTCCCCGTGCCTGAAACGGACGACACGGCCATCTGGATATTCTAGGAACGTCTGTGAGTAGAAGCCCGGGAGAAACCCAAATTATCAGCATCGGCACTGGGAGCGTCCCACAGCCCAGAGGCCCTTGGTAATAGAATTTCTAGAACTAGAGAACTCCAGATTCCGGGAGGTCCCTGGAATTTTCACCTCCATTCCTTGATTTAAAAAGGTCCCCGTTATTGCGCAGGTGCATTCATTGTCCTTAAATTTAAATTAGAGAAGCTATGGCCTTAGGCCAGAAGGGTCTCATTTTGCCCCGGGCAGTTCAAAACCTTCCCTTTGTATGAAAGATGCACTGGCTTTTGGAAATGGGACACTCTGAGGGTGTGGCCTTCGATATGACCCAGCCCGCGGGCTGCACGGCCGCTGCAGGTTCTGCGCTGCCCCGGCCTGCTGCTGGCGTGAGGCCCGCTCACAAATGTCACAGGAGCGTCCTGCCGTGGTCTGGGCAGCAAACCGCGGGAAAGCAGATACCCCGGGGAAGTCCACGTTGTCGGCGGGAGATCTGCCTTCTGACCTAAGAGGCGTTTTCAGTCCCACCCTGCTTGATTGGTTGCCTGCCCTCTGGCCGATTTCACCCCTAGAACTTCGTGGCAAAGCGTTCTCCCACCCCTTCCCCATGCTCCCTCTAGCGAGGAGATCCCGTTCCCAGCTGCGGCCAGCTGTGGTGCTTTGACAGAAGTGTTGCCACGCGTACACTCAAACCATGAAGGTCTCAGAATGACCTGGGGAACGCGTTGCCCACCAGATGCCTGGCCCCACCCCAGCAGCTTCAGATCCAGGGTGTTTTGCGGCCCTGGCAGGCGGGGTGAGGTGGAGGTCACGGCTCCCTGTTGCTGGGCAGGGTTCTCTAGCGCCACCTTCTCCCCTAGCGGCGGCAAGTGACAGCTACCCCCTAGGGGGCATGTATGTTTTCAACAGACTCCCCAAGTGAGTCGCTGAGGTCAGGCATTGTCCTGCGCAGCAGGACTGAGCTCAGAGGAGAATGGGTCCAGGGAAGACCATTCTAATTTAGTAAAAACCCCAGCACTGAGCACACCTACTGGGGCCCGGAAGTGTTGAAGACAGGACCTCTCTGTTCAAAGAGCTGGCAGAGCAGTGGTGGGGTGAGTGCCTGAGGGAGGGGTCCATGCCTCAGGTAAGAGACCTGGACCCTGACTCTTATAACTGTCAGGTATCAGTCCCAGAATCCCCTCTCCTGGGGATGGGCTCCTGGTTCTTAAAATCAGGGGTGCCAAAGGACGAGGTAACGATCGCCTTCAGAGCCCACTAGACGCAGGACAAGCTAAGCCCACTTCTCTGTCCACGTGTGACGTTTTGCTTCCACAGGCAGGAGAGTGCCTTCTCTTCTCTTTGAAGAGCACCTGAAGAACACACTTCGGTGGGTTATGTTTTCGTATCTGCACGCCTGTGTAACCACTACTCAGGTCGCAGTGGGTGCATTCTGGCGTAGGGAAATGCCACAGAGGGTGGGCTGCCTCCCGGTTCGGCTTTTGACAGAAAGTGAAGGATACGATCTCAGGGTACAGCTTGCTCTCCTTGGCCACCGCAGTCAATGAACAAGCGTCTGGTGAGTACCTGCAGTGTTCTGGAAGCTTCCTGGTGCAAAGCAGCAGTGCGCCCTTCACCTGTAAGTCAAATACGAGTGAACGGGCTTGCCTTTAGGAACGGATTGTACAGAACACATTTTGTGTCACCTGTGGCTTACTATGTATCTGCTATTGATTCTGTTCATTGGTTTGGGACCCTTTACTTTCTTCCTGCTCCAATCTGCCTTCCCTTTTCTTTAATATTGTATCTTTCTTATCTAGCCCCACCCCCCACCCCCAAAGCGTACTATTACATTGTAGCTTTTAATGGCGACCAACGAAGAAGGCAGCGACCCCAGCCCCAGAGCGGCGCCCTGGCCCCTGGCGCAGGCGCGGGTGCAGAAGCTGGAGCCTCGGCTGGCCCGCAGGCGCCTGTCCCAGGCTCGCCACCGAGCCACCCTGAGCAAGCTCTTCGGGAACCTGCGGAGAATCCTGTACCAGCAGTCTGACTTCACGGCCTCGAAGGTATGAGGACCTGAGTGTGTGTGGGGAAGGTTCCTAGATGTGGAGGGGCTGTGGAGCCGAGGGGGGGGGAGGGGGGTTGGGCCTGGAGTTGCTACTCCCCCATCCTTACCCCTGAGGGCTGGGGCCTGCCCAGGCGGGCCGGCGGCCAGCTGTGGACACCGCATGGTGCTGCGCCTGCTGCTGTCCGGCTGCGCTCCGTGCCCTGGTCCACGAGGCCCGTCAGTCCCGCAGGGGAATCAGCCCCTCCTCCCGTGGGGTCCCACAGCCCGTTGCTTCGACCCCCTGTTAGCACTCGCAGAACGCTAGTTTGTGTTACAAGTTGTGGTTCCCGTGCCGGTCTTTCCTGATAGAATGCCAGCACCCTGAGAGCAGGGCTGATGGGCTATTCTTTTCGGGCCCAGCACAGCTATCGGTGGTCAGCGAATAAACAGTATTCAGCAGTTCTCGGTTTGTTTGTTTTTTAGGTTTTTATAATATATTTTTTTATTGATTTTTGTACAGAGAGGAAGGGAGAGAGTTAGAGAGTCAGAAACATCGATGAGAGAGAGTCATCGATCAGCTGCCTCCTGCACACCCCCCACCGGGGATATGCCCGCAACCAAGGCACATGCCCTTGACCGGAATCGAACCCGGGACCCCTCAGTCCCCAAGCCGACGCTCTATCCATTGAGCCAAACCGGTCTTGGCAGTTCTCGTTTTTTTTTTGTTTTTTTTGTTTTTGTTTTTTTTAACAATCTCACAGTTATCATTTTGACTTTAGTAGTCATTTGGGGGGCCCTAGATAATAAAGATACAATATTAAGGAAAAAGGAGGGCAGAATGAAGTAGGTTGCACACTGTGACCAGTGAGGGAAGCTTATTGGGAGCCTGCTGCCCACCTGGGGTTGACATCACTCAGGCCGCCTCTAAGTCACCCTTTATTCCACCTGCAAGTAGCACATGGAGTCGTTTGCCTTTTTATCAGCCCTAGTAGTTTGCTGAATGCAGCTTACTTGTTTCTGAATACTTTGTTGTTTCTGGGAGAACCATTTCCCTATTACAACTTAGACAAATCCTATATAATAAAATCCCAATATGCAAATTGACCAAATGGTGGGAAGAGCGGTCGCTATGATTCGTACTGACCACCAGGGGGCAGATGCTTAACACAGGCGCTGCCCCCTGGTGGTCAGAGCGCTCCCACAGGGGGAGCATGGCTCAGCCAGAAGCCAGGCTCACGGCTGGTGAGCACAGTGGCGGTGGCAGGAGCCTCTCCTGCCTTCACTGCAGGTGGGTGGTAAGGAGTGAGGAGTCCCGGACTGTGAGAGCCTCAGACTATGAGAGCCCGGGTCTGTGAGAGTGATGTCAGGGGAGTGGGCCAAAGCTGGCAGGCGGACATCCCCCACGGGGTCTGGGACTGTGAGAGGGCACAGGCCAGGCTGAGGGATGCCCCCCTGCCAGTGCACAAATATTGTGCACCAGGCCTCTAGTAAACAAACAACCAACAAACAAACTTCATGCCTTCTGCACAACAGAACAAATTTCCTACCCTTTTAATCAACAACGTGAAGGATGGTGATTGTGCATCTAAGTGAGGGGAGGGGAAGGGGGTAGAGGAGGGAGGAGGGAGTGTGGGGAGGGGGGTGGCTCCTCTGTTTGCAAAACCTGTCTGTGGCCGGGACAGGTTTGGCTCAGTGGATAGAGCGTCGGCTTGGGGACTGAAGGGCCCCGGGTTTGATTCCCGTCAAGGGCATTTACCTTGGTTGCGGGCACATCCCCAATAGGGGGTGTGCAAGAGGCAGCTGATCGATGACTCTCTCATTGATGTTTCTAACTCTCTATCTCTCTCCCTTCCTCTCTGTACAAAAATCAATAAAATATATATTTAAAAACAAACAAACAAAAAACCTGTCTGTGCAGTGGAAACCGGCCTGTCAGCATTTTCTGTCTCTGTCCGCAGTGGCAGGTTCTGAACAGGGCGAAGAGTCACATTCAGGAACAGGAACAAATCTTGGATAATCTGCTGAAGGTGAAAGGTAACAGATCCTACCTGCCACCTCCATCGCCCTCCCAGGGGAAGGAAGACTGGTTGGTTTTTCTATTGAAAACAGAGACACTGCCGAAACCGGTTTGGCTCAGTGGATAAAGCGTCGGTCTGCGGACTGAAAGGTCCCGGGTTCGATTCCGGTCAAGGGCATGTACCTTGGTTGCGGGCACATCCCCAGTAGGGGGTGTGCAAGAGGCAGCTGATCAATGATTCTCTCTCATCGATGTTTCTAACTCTCTATCACTCTCTCTTCCTCTCTGTAAAAAACAACAACAACACAAAAAAAACAATAAAATAAAACAAACAAACAAAAAAACAGAGACGCTGGGTGAAGTGAAGGGAATGAATATTTACTGAGTACCTACTGTGTGCTAGGCAGGCGCTGGGCTTGGGCCAGGGGCACGGGGAGATTCCCAGCCTGACCTTAGGGCTGTCAGCTGTGGGAGGTACCTGAGCTCATCTCGAGAGGCCAGAGGAGACGCAGGCCAGTGTTTGTCAGAACCTGGCTCCTCTCCTCGGCACTTGTCTTGGGAGAGATGGCTGCTGGGAACCTGAGTTTAACGACCTGGTGGAAGCTGAACTCTGAAAGGGATTCTCTCGATGCCTTGAGTGAGATGGGCCAGTCCGAGAAGCCCTTTCCCCTCACATCTGGAAGGAGGGGTGCACCTGGGCTCTTGACCCCTAACGCTGACCCCAGTGGGCTCAGGGACCTCCGTGCTCCCCCTGGAAAGACAGGAGACTCAATAAAGGCCCTTGTTCAACTCCCTTGCCTTCATTTCTCTAAGTCACCCCCCCTTTTTTTTTAATATATATTTTATTGATTTTTTACAGAGAGGAAGGGAGAGAGATAGAGAGCCAGAAACGTCAATGAGAGAGAAACATCGACCAGCCGCCTCCTGCACACCCCCCACCAGGGATGTGCCCGCAACCAACGTACATGCCCTTGACCAGAATCGAACCCGGGACCTTTCAGTCTGCAGACCGACGCTCTACCGCTGAGCCAAACCAGTTTAGGCTCTAAGTCACCCTTTATTCCACCTTCAAGTAGCACATGGAGTTGTTTGCCTTTTTTTTTTTTTTGCAGCCCTAGTAGTTTGCTGAACGCAGCTTAATTGTTTCTGAATACTTTGATGTTTCAGTGAGAACCATTTCCCTATTACAACTTAGATAAATCCTATATAATAAAATCCCAATATGCAAATTGACCAAATGGTGGAACAAGCGTTCGCTATGATTCATACTGACATTCTCCCTTGCCTTCAACTCCCCAACAGAATCCTTCAAACTGCAGGATGGAAATGCAAACAGCTTAGAGGAGGTCAAGGAGAAATATGCCAGGATGTTCTCCAGAAATCACAGGTAAGAGCCGGCCCCGGGGCCTCCTGGTGTCATGGCCTGCTGTCACAGGAGCCGCTTTTGGCTGCAGCATGGGGAGAGCTGAGGAGGGTGGCTCACTGGTTAGAACCCTCTTGGGGAATTCTTTTCTATTTTATCTTACAATGTGCCTGGGATTTTGTGTTCTGATGATAAAAATCTCTGCTTATTACAGAACATGTCAAAAATACAGAAAAGCCCTAAAAAGAAAATTAAAATACATATTGTTTCACCTCACAAGGAAATCCAATGTTAATTTCAAAGCCTAGCCTTCCATTAAAAAAAAAAAATTGCATGTTATTTTATGGAAAGATGAGACCAAGTACTTCTTTTGTATTTCAGCTTTTACAAACTCAGTCAGTGGCTTATTGGCAGGTGCATATGAAAGTAAGGAAAGTCCAAAACTCAGCCTGATCCCCCAGCTTCTCAGGAGCCAAGAAAGGCCAGTTTGGACTTCTGAGAGCTCTGACTGTGAATGGATGTTGACTTTTGCCAAGTGCTTTTTCTGCCTCTATTGAGATTGTACAGCCGAAACCGGTTTGGCTCAATGGATAGAGCGTCAGCCTGCAGACTGACAGGTCCCGGGTTCGATTCCTGTCAAGGGCATGTACCTTGGTTGTGGGCACATCCCCGGTAGGGGGTGTGCAAGAGGCAGCTGATCGATGATTCTCTCTCATCGATGTTTCTAACTCTCTATTCCTCTCTCTTCCTCTCTGTAAAAAAAACCCAATAAAATATATTTTTTAAAATCATACTATTTTAAAATCAAATATTGATAAGATTTTTAGTCTGTTGATATGGTGAGTTACATGGATAGATTTTCAAAGTTTAAAACAACTGTTTCGCATTCACAGGATAAACCACACTGGGCTATAATGTATGAACACACACATGTGTGTGTTATAATATATGACCTATATGATGCATATCATATATAATATATCATATATAATATATACGTTTGCTAAGACTGTTAAGAATTTTGGTGCCAATGTTCATGAGGGAATTAATCTGATGTTACCTTGTTTCTGTTTTCTCACCAGCCTACTCCCAAATAAGGTTCATCCATATGACTTTGACAACTTGTACCCATTTGAGGCAGTCGGGAAGGATGAGGAGGAGGAAGATGAGGAGGAGGAAGAAGAGGAGGAGGAGGAAGAGGAGGAGGAGGAGGAGGAGGAAGAGGAGGAGGAGGAGGAAGACCAAGAAGAGGAGGAAGAAGAGAAGGAGGAGGAGGAGAAGGAGGAGGAAAAAGTGGAGCTCTTACCCTCCCCAGTCACTTTGCCACCCGACCTCATGGAGTTTGAACGGTGTGAACAGCTGAGCGAGGTGGCTCTGTGCACAGCCCGAGCTCCTGTTGGGGAAGGGGCGAGGCTCAGCGGGGCAAGCTGCAGCCTCCAGTGCTCAGGCCAGGCTCTGAGCCGTGGATGCTCAGAATTTCCACTCGGGAGGGGCTGGGGGATGCGGTTGGCAGAAAAGCTAAAGAAATAGTCTTGAAGCTACATTTGCATAGCACACACACTGTGCTTACTTAGACCGGGTGCTTGTGTGGGGTAGGGGATGGGGGTTGATGGTGATTAGAAGAGCTAGAGCCCCCTTCCACACACCTTCCCAAGGTCTGTTTTGGGCTGCATTATAGTGAGAGAGATGAGAATGGCTGGCTCAGACTCCCACTGCCACTCACCGCCCTCCACAGATAGCCCCTTGGCAGCCACATCAGCGTTCAATAGACGGGAAGCTCCGTCCACAATGAGCCTGACTCTCAGGCCTCAAGTTTAAGCATCACGTCACGTCTGCACATGCACGGGCTCGGGATTTTAAGTGGAGTGAGAGCTGAGCCAGCCACGCCTCTCATCGTCCCCTCTGTAAGGCACAGGATCTGGGAGGATGTGAGGAAGGGCTGAGAAGCAGAAATCTGTCTCCATGGCCCTGGAGATGGCGTCTGCTCTCCTAGGCTCAGGCCCTCCAGAGACTAGCAAGGCCAAGCCCCTGGCACAGCACGGAGAGGTGGCCGCACGGGGTCCCTAGGAGTCGGCCTGGGGTGGGGGGTGGAGGTGGGGGGCCTTGGCCTCGAGTTTCAGGTCTGGGAGATGCTGTCATTTATGCTCCAGGTACCTCAACTTTTACAAGCAGACCATGGACCTCCTGACCAGGGACAGGATCGTCTCCTCCCAGGAGGTGACCCTGCCCGTGGTCTCCGCGGCCATCTCCCACCTGTGGCAGACCCTCTCCGAGGAGAAGAAGGCCGGCCTCCTGCAGGCCGTGGCGCGGAGGCACGGTGGCCTGGCGGGCCTGGGAGGGGCCCCCCGGGAGCCGGCCTGTGCCGAGGACAGCGTGAAGGACAGCGGCGTCGACAGCCAAGGGGCCAGCTACTCGCTCGAGTCTACCCCGGAGGAGGTGAGCGGTCCCTGGAGGCGGGGCGGAGGGGTGTCCTCGAGGTCACTCAGCAAGTCCGGGGAGCTGTTCAGATTCTGGCTCACGTGGTCAGTTTCTGATTTTCCTGACCTCATCACCACAACCACAGAGCGGCATTTCTTATTCTTCCGTTCGTTTCCTGGCCTTCCCCTGAGGATTATAGGAGAGACGCCTTAGCCTGGTCGGCGTGGCTCAGTGGTTGAGCATCCATCTATGCACTAGGAGGTCATGGTTCCATTCCTGGTCAGGGCACATGCTGGCAGAGGAGTGGTTAGGGGGTGATCAGGCCAACGGGCAGAAGTGGTTAGGGGCGATCAGGCAGGCAGGCAGGTGAGCTGTTAGGAGCCAGCAGTCCAGGATTCCAAGAGGGATGTCTGACTGCCAGTTTAGGCCCGATCGCTGTGGGATCCCTGTGGGATTGGGCCTAAACTGGCAGTTGGACATCCCCCGAGGGGTCCCAGATAGGAGAGGATGCAGGCTGGGCTATGGGACACCCGCCTCAGTGCATGAATTTTGTGCAGCAGGCCCCTATATATGATGTAATATGCCTAGGGGAAGGATGGAGGGAAATAAATCAATATGTTAACAATGAGCCTCTCCAGGTGGGATTGTTTCTTGGTGATTTTTTCTTATTGGTTTCTATTTTCATGATAAACATATATTTCTTTTATAAAGCAGATAATATTTGGGACTGGTTTGGCTCAGTGGATAAAGCAGATAATATTCAATAATAGCTAATATGGCCCTAGCCAGTTTGGCTCAGTGGATGGAGCCTGCAGACTGAAGGGTCCCAAACTCAATTCCAATCAAAGGCACATGCCTGGGTTGTGGGCTCGATCACCACTAGGGGCTGTGCAGGAAGCAGCCAATCAATGATTCTCTCTCATCACTGATGTTTCTCTCTCTCCCCCTCCACTCTTCTCTGAAATCAATAAAAATGTGTTGTTGTTGTTGTTGTTGTTTTTTAAATAATAGCTAATTTGTTTGAGCCATGATGTGCCTGGTCCCTCACACAGCTCTTCTTATTGAGTGCTTGCAAAATCCCATGTGTAGGGACTGTTGTGATTCCTATTTATAGAGGAGGGTTCGAGAGATGAAGTCACTTGCCTGAGGTCACGCAGCTTTCCGAGTGGCAGGGCTGGGTGTCAGCTCTCCTGCAGCCTAACTCCAGAGCCCCCTTGACCTCTGTGCTCAGCTGCCTCGGCATGAAGCTGCTCACCTGTCAACCTTGGCTCAAATGGGCTCTGCACCTGCGGAGGTGTAGCTGTGCCCTTCCCCAGGTAAACTGAGGCTCGGCTCTGGCATCTCACGCCGTCTTCTTTAGAAAGAGGAAACACGGTCCCCAGCACTTCCCTCTGGGGTCGGCAGTTTGTTCTGGGCGGGCAAGAGCTTCATATTCCCCGCCTGGAAAGGTCACCAAGCAGAGTCTGACGGGGCCCAGCTCTCATGGGCACGCCCTTCAGAGACAGAGAGACAGAGAGACAGTCTCGCTCCTCCTCCCGCAGCAGCCCAGGGCAAAGTTCAGACTGCTCTGTGCTTTCTTTCAGCTCCTTTTCGAAGATGCCTACGATGTGGCATGTTTCCTGGATAAAAGTGAGGCCCCAAGTACATCTAGCTCCAGGTGAGGTCAGGGTACGAGATGGTGTGTGTGTGTGCTCATGTGTGTATTATGTGTGTGTGTATGTGTGTGTGTGGGGGAGGTGTACCCTTCCTGGGATGTTCAGGAGCCTCCCCTGCAGCTCTCCAGAGGAGTGCAAAATTCAGTGGGAGTTCTTGGAGATCCACTTTGTCCTGTGATTCGAAGTGGGCTGGTCCTAGGATTGTGCCGTAGCCCTGGGGACACTATTGTCTGGGGTTCTTCTGAGCAGAACATTCTCCCATCCCGACCCAGGGCTGACACACAGGTTATCAACTCCAGACTGCTCATGTTGCACTGTTTTCCCAGGGTGAGGTGCCATGGGCAGTTACAGCCCTCGGTCTGATCTGAGAGGTGGGAGGGGGAAGTCTGGCCCTGAGAAACTGGGTCAACATGGATACAGGCCCCATGTCCCTCTCCTCTCCTCTCTGAAATCAATAAAAATAAAAATAAAAAACCTTTTTCTACTTTGCTTGGAAAAGATGGGGGCTGCTGTCTGAAGGTTCCTAGCTGCCTGGAATGTGAGGTGAAAATGCCAGCTGGCCTGGCATGACTCCCGGCTTCTTTGCTGGCTTCTTGTCCCAGGAAGGCAGGGGGAAAGGAGTCTGCACAACACGCCTTTCCTCTGCATCCTGTCCCCCTGAGACCTCCTGGGCGGAGGCATCTGAAGGGACTGAACTCAAGTGTGCGACGTGCCCGCAGGTGGGCCAGAGCCGTGAGGCGTCACTGTAGAGGTCGACTCTCAGGGACAGAGGACATCTTGTCCCCTTGCTCCCGAGACCATAGCTCAGGGCCCTAAATTAGGACCCAGGAGCCAGTCCCCCTATTGTCTCACTTTCCCGGTGCGTCCCAGACATGACATTGAGCTGAGGCGAGGCAAACCTAGCGAGAAGGACTCCTGGCTCTCTGAGGACTCAGCTGGGTGTTTGAAAGTGCTTGGTTCACATCATCATCCAAGTTCTGTAGGGGGTCCAAGCAGAGGTCAAAGAGTAGGATTCCAAACATGGGCTGTTTCCTTCTCTGTCGTCAGTCCCATGTTTGCCAACTGCAACCCAGAGAACCCAGAGGAAAAGTTTCAGCTCTACACACACATCGTCGACTTCTTCAAAGACCTCTGTGGTGCTCACCCTCAGGAGAAGCAGGTAGGACAGCGCCGAGTGGGAGACCCCCTTCCCCCTCAGGATCCAGGTCCCTTGAGGGGTGCTAGGTCTCACCCGATCACACCAGAAGGCTGAGTGGTGCTCCCGCTGAGGGAGCACACTGAATACCAGGGGGCAGCTCCTGTGCTGAGTATCTGCCCCCGGTGGTCAGGGCACCAGTCATTCCTTAGTTCGGTCAATTTGCATATTAGCCTTTTTTTTTTTTTTTAAGAAATAGTTTTAACATCTACGTTTTATCTTTTTTTTTTTTTTTAATATATTTTTATTGATTTTTCACAGAGAGGAAGAGAGAGGGATAGAGAGTTAGAAACATCGATGAGAGAGAATTATCGACCAGCTGCCAAGGTACATGCCCTTGACCGGAATCATCAATCAGCAACCAAGGTACATGCCCTTGCCCGGAATTGAATCTGGGACCCTTCAGTCCGCAGACCAAAGCTCTATCCACTGAGCCAAACCAGTTTTGGCAAGCCTTTATTATATAGGATAAGTTGCACAGCCAGAAATGAACATCTTCCCAAAGCTGACAGCGCATATTGCCCTGGGTCTAGGCGGGGAAACAGGTCTGCCTCTTGGCGAGGAGCCAAGCAGTCACAGGACATTTAGGAATTCCTGGGGACGCTCTTTCATTCTCTTTGGCCTGTTCCATGGATGCTCGACTCCAGCCTAAGGCAGCCTGTGGGGTGGAAGATGTTGGGGAAACTGAGGTGAGAGGGAAGAATGCCTTTTAGGGCAGACCTTGATGTAGCAACCAGGTACCAGGAGAGGTTGGCTGGGATCCTTGTAAAGGGAATGAGAAACTCTTGCTAACCAAACATTCCCTGTTTCCCCGAAAATAAGACAGAGTCTTATATTAATTTTTGCTCCCAAAGATGCGCTAGGTCTTATTTTCAGGGGATGTCTTATTTTTCCATGAAGAAGAATACGGTACACATTTATTGTTAAATGAAAATAAAGGAAATTTATTACCGTATACGGTACGGTAGTACAGTAGTTGTCAACACAAACCAGACAAACTGTGAATCCTACAGTATCAAGAATTTACTCATTTGTTCAATGACAATCATGTCATCATCTTCTGGAACATCATCATAACAATCCAATTCCTGGATTTCCTGGTGAATTTCTTGTGACTCCATTTTTTTTTTTTTTCAGAACCAGTGGACCAAAACTCTCATGTTTAGCTTAGGGGGGCCTTATTTTCGGGGGGATGCCTTATGTTTCACTCAGAAGGAAACCTGTAAGTAGGTCTTATTTTCGGAGGATGTCTTATTTTCGGGGAAACACGGTAGTGCTGCTTCTTGAAAAAAAAAAAAAAATGACCTCCTAACAGCTCACCCATGTTTAAGTTCAAGTTACCAGAAGGCAACAAGGAAAACAGCGTCTTTCCTACCAGCCCCCTTGGTTACTACCCAGTCTCTGCCTCAAAGGCAGCCACCATGACCAGTTTTTCGAACAGCCAACCAATGTGAATGGATTCTTTCAAACACAAATGGTAGTCTCCTTGTGCACATTGCTTTGTATCTAGTCCTTTAAAAAAAATATATTTTTATTTTCTACAGAGAGAGGAAGAGGAAGAGCAAAAGAGAAACAGCAATGTGAGAGAGAAACATCAAACACTAATTGCCTCCTGCATGCCCTGCACTGGGGGTTGAGTCCGAAACCCAGGAATTGAACCAACAACCTTTTGGTCCATGGGAGGATGCTCAACCAATTGAGCTACACTAGTCAGGGCGTTCTTTCCCTTTTAAATTAATATGTCCCACAGATAGAGAGCGATTGCATTCACTTTTTTTTTTTTTTTTTGGAAACAGCTGCATGGTGTTCCATTGGTAGATACATCACGATGTAATTCAAAGTCCCCTCTCTTCTGGGCCCCTGCAATTCCCCATGATAGGAAAGCAGCCAGTTCTGCGGCATCCAGGGAAAGCCTGTATTGTGGTCAAAGAGTAACATGGACATGGGACCTTCCCCCCACTGCCTTTACTTCCTGGCCGTAAGCTGGAGGTGGAGATGCAGCTGAAAAGATGTGGGTAGAGACGGAGGGAGAGGGGCACGCCTGCGGTGGAGGGGGCTCTGGCTGTCACCCAGAGCCAGGAACCCTTAAATAAATACCAATCCTCTTCATCCTGTGTGTTGCAGGAACCAGAGCTTCCCGTGGACGATGCGATGTTGATGTTGCAGTGCATGGAGACCTTTGATGACGAAGATCTGTAGTGCAGAAGGGCTGGCAGGGGAGGCAATGAATGAAGTGGACCGTTTCCAAGTTTGCCCGCTGCACCCGCCTTGGCCTTCTGGGATATTTTGGATGGACTCTCCCAGAAGCATGTTGATGGTTTTCATTTTTTATTATTATAAAGCTTTAAGAGCAGCATGGCTCTGTGTTGGTCTCTCAGGGTTGTTTGGTGCAAAGGACTGTCCTGCAGGGCACACACCTGCTCCCCGGGCTCCTCTGGGCCGGGTGGTGCCAGGCGCGGCTGAGGCGCAGGCCCTGGGCCATCCCAGGGAGGGACAGGCAGCATCTGTCTGTGGAGTGCACTCTGGGTTCAGGTTGTTGTTCTGGAGATTTCTGGAGACCACCACCTGTTCACCTGCATGCTCTGGGAGCCTGGGAAAAGTGCGGACCCCGAACCAGGGCTGCAGGACATCTGTCAGGGTGGAGCCAGCGACATCTGCTTCTTCTGGCGATAAAGACCCCTGAATGGAGCCCAGCCAGACTCCAGAGCTTTCCAGCGAGGCTCCTGGACAGAGTGTGTACAATGTCCCTGGGCATGTGCACTGGAGGTGACAGTTGGTCAAACGTTATTCTAGATGTTTCTATGAGGGTATTTTAAAAAAATATATTTTATTGATTTTTCACAAAGAGGAAGAGAGAGGGATAGAGAGTTAGAAATGTTGATGGGAGAGAATCATTGACCAGCTGCCTCTTGCACACCCCCTACTGGGGATGTACCCGCAACCCGAAATTGAACCCAGGACCCGTTAGTCCGCAGGCCGACGATCTATCCACTGAGCCAAACCGGTGCCGGCAAGGGTATTTTTTTTTTTTTTAATAATTTTTTAAGAAAATATATTTTTTATTGAATTTTTACAGAGAGGAAGAGAGAGGGATAGAGAGTTAGAAACGTCGATGACAGAGAAACATCGATCAGCTGCCTCTTGCACATCCCCCACTGGGGATGTGCGGGCAACCAAGGTACATGCCCTTGACTGGAATCGAACCTGGGACCTTTCAGTCCGCAGGCTGACGCTCTAGCCACTGAGCTAAACCGGTTTCGGCTGCCTGGCTCTTTACAGTTTACACACATCTTAGCAACAGCAGCTCCCCTCCACTGAAGGCTGTTTCACCTCCTGTCGGCTCCGCAGCCCAGCTCTCACCGCTCACCGTCCTGTGATGCAGGAGGCAACGCCAAGGACTTCCACTGCGGGAGCATGGCTGAGGGAGTTCCCATGGGGATGGGCATCAGGCTACACTGGTTTCCATGACAGCCCGCTGGGCTGGAGCCAGGGGGAGGATGCAGCCTGAGGCCAGGCCGTGGGGACGGAGTGCCAGGTCACAGTAGTCTTCACTTGCTGCGTATTCCGCTGCCACAGTGTACAGGATGCTGCGGGTGCTCAGGAGGGTGTGGTCCCTGCCCATGCCTGCCCGGGGAGACCAGCACCTTCGGGGTTGGGGAGGGGGTGGAGAGGGCTTGGGGACGTGCCTCAGAAGAGACAGCCTCACATCCGGGTCTCTATGGCACCCTTAGGGCGCTCTCCTGAGGAATCCTGGGAGCAGAGTGTGAGCTGACTCACTCCCACCTCCCCGGTCCCCCCAGGCTCCCGGCTGGGCCAGAAGGGGAGGAACTGGGCACAGGAGGAAGTGCAGTACGTGGTGCCAATCCCACAGGGGAGGCTGTAGATCTCCAGGACCCTCGCAGTCTCCTCCGTCCCCTGGGCTTGATCCCATGCCCGGAAGCCGCGCTCCTCCAGACTTCCTGCGAGGAGACAGGGAGCACTCAAGACTGGGCCCAGGGAGGCCTGGGTGGAAGCTGGAAGGCACCTCTGGTGCCCCCTGCGGGCACTCATGAGGTCTCCTCCTGCCAACAGAGCCGCCAAGCCCACCAGAGGAATCACACAGCTCAATCTGACTCCTTGGGCCACCCTGAGCCCCCAGGCGGGGCTGACAGTACAGAGCTCCGGGCAGGACCTTCTGTGAACCACTGTCCTTCACTGGGGCTGGCTTTCCACATGCTAATGTTTCTGGAATGCAGACACATCCTACACGTGGAGGAGAAAGGAATGTGGGAAAGAATAGAAGCTGAGGCTAGCGTAGAGGTTCCTGCAAGAGGCTGTGGGAGGGTCAAGAAGGAAGCATGTGGACCCAGCCAGTTGAACATCATCAACCTATGAACTGGGAGGTCACAGTTTGATTCCCAGTCAGGGCACAGGCCCAGGTTGTAGCTTAACCCCAGGGTGGGGTGTGCAGGAGGCAGCTGGTCAATGATTCTCTCTCATCATTGATCTCTCTCTCTCTCTCTCTCTCTCTGTCTCTCTTCCTTCCTCTCTGAAACCAATGAAAATATTTTTTCTTAAAGAAAATAAGGGAGCAGGGGAAGCCATCGATGATAGTGGCTCTGCGCTCTCCGCCTTCCACACCCTCAACACTTAGAGACCCAACTGGCTCATCATCGCATTTACTACCTCAGATGGCAAGTGCCTGCTTTCTTGACTCTCTCTCACAGTAGCCTGTGGGTTTCTGGAAGGCAGGGGCATGTCTTTCTGGTCTCTATATTCTCAGTTCCAGACCACCAGAAAGAAGTAAGTATTGTAATAAAGCAAGCCATAATATTTTTGCTGCTGGAGCTTGTTAAAACACAAACACAACATCATATCTGTGAAATGAAGTACAATAAAACAGGGTGTGCCTGTACAGAGCACCTGGAACATAAGTGCTCAAGGGGTTTCTGTTAAAAACTAGAGGCCTGGTGCATGGATTTGTGCACCAGTGGGTCCCTCAGTCTGGCCTGTGGGGATCGGGCTGAAACCAGCCGTCCAGCATCCCCTAAGGGGTCCTGGAGTGCGAGAGGGCACTCTGAAAAGTTGCTGTCCCTCAGCAGCTCCTGGATTGAGCGTCTGGCTCCTGGTGGTCAGTGTGCATCATAGCTACTGGCTGGTTAGCCCACCCAGTGGCTTAGGCTTTTATATATATACACTAGAGGCCTGGTGCATGAAAATTCGTGCACTTGAGCGGGGGAGGTCCCTCAGCCCTGCCTGCACTCTCTCAGAGTCTGGGACCCCTCGGGGGATGTCCACCCACCAGCTTAGGCCTGCTCCCTGAGGACATCCCTCTAGCAGACAGGAGCCCTCAGGGGATGTCCAACTGCAGGCCTAAGCCGCAGTCAGATATGCTTAGAGCTGTGGAGGCAGGAGAGGCTCCCACCACCACCACCACTGCACTTGCAGCCATCAGCCCGGCTTGTAGCTGAGCAACCTCCCCCTGCTTTTCCAGAAACTTGTACTGACCACCAGGGGGCAGCTCCTGCGTTGAGCATCTGCCCCCTGGTGGCCAGTGCAAGTCATAGCAACCGGTCATTCCACTGTTAGGGTTAATTTGCATATTACCCTTTTATTATATAGGATAAATATCAGTGAGTGAATGAATGAATGAATGAATGAATACTTGCGTTGTCTCCCTCATCAACTAGACTGTAGGCTCTAAGAGAGAAGGGCCTAGGTCTTTTTCTTTTCGCTTCTGGTGTATTTATCACCATAGGGCCCTGTGATGGGCTGAATTGTATCCCCCGAAAAATATGTTGGAACCCTAATCCCTGTACCTTACAAAATGATTGTATTTGGAGATAGGAGCTTTTAAGAGATGCCTAAGGGCTGAGACCAGTTTGGCTCAGTGGATAGAGCATCAGCTTGCGGACTCATGTGCCCCGGGTTCGATTCCGGTCAAGGGCATGTACCTTGGTTGCAAGCACATCCCCAGTAGGGGGTGTGCAAGAGGCAGCTGGTCGATGTTTCTCTCATCAATGTTTCTGACTTTCTATCCCTCTCTCTTCCTCTCTGTAAAAAATCAATATATTAAAAAAAAGAAAAAAGAAACAAAAAGAGAGATGCCTAAGGTAAAGAGGAGGGTTTTGGGGTGGGCCCTAACCTAACCTGATGGGTATCTTTATAAGAAAAGGAGCCTAGGACACACAGAGAGACCCCGGGGATGCACACCCCCAGAGGAAAGGACAAGTGAGGGCACAGTGAGAAGGCAGTTGTTTGCAAGCCTAGGAGAGAGGCCTCAGGAGAAACCAACCCTGCTAACACCTGGACCTTGGATTTCCAGGCTCCAGACTGTGAGAAAATACAGTTTGGTGTTTTAAGCCCCTGAGAAAGCTAATACAGACCCATACACCCCCCCCCCCCCCCCCACCACCACCACCACACCTGCTCCCCGAGACCCAAGGCCCATGCAGACTGTGGCCAGCCTGACCGGGCAATCAGTGCTGGAGAAGCACGGCGAGTGGCCCGCATGCTGGCCACCTACCCAAACAGCTAGCCTGCCGCGCGAAGGGAGCCCTACCAGGGATGGTGTTGTCCAGCACAAAGGCCAGGAAGCCGCCAACGAACATGCCTGTGGTCAGCAGCACCTGGATGACCTGGTCCAGCTGGAGAATCCCTGGAGTGGAGACAGAAGTGAGGAGCATTCCCAGGGCTGAGGGCCCCCAGCCCTGCCCCAGGAGTGGTCACAGTCCCGAGGCTGGCGAGTCACCTGTCTGGAGCTGGTCCGAGTTCTTGTTCACCCAGTTGGGAATCGCGAGCCCACAGAAGATGGAGAAGCCAAAGACAAAGAGGTTCCTGGACGAGTTCATGTCCACATGCTGCGGAGAGAGGCCCCGGCCGCCCTGAGCTGCTGCTGCTGCTGCTGCTGCACACCCAGCTGACACCCCTCTGAGTGCCCCTCCCTCCCACCGCCTCCTATGGGGGCAGGAGGCCGACCTCAGCAACACATGCTCTCCGTGGGCAAGCCAAGCTCCAATTCCCACTGGACCTTGGGAGCCGAGTGGTTTGGGTCAGTGCTCGGCACACTCATTAGTCAACAGAGCCAACTATCAACAGTACAACGATTGAAATTTCTTTGGAGAGCCACATTTTTAAAATTTAAACTTCTAATGCCACTTTTTCAAAATGGACTCGCCCAGGCCATGGAATTTTGTGCAAGGGCCACACTCAAGGAGCTAAAGAACTGCATGTGGCTCTCGAGCCGCAGTTTGCCAAGCATGGGTTTGGGTAATCCAGTTCAAACTGATACAATTTCTGGTTTGGGGTGCTTCTGTTTCTTTCTTCCATTGGGGGCCAGTGTGGTGACTGGCCTTCCCCCCCCCCTCCCCTGGCCCTGCTCCCTTCATCTCAATCCCGTGGGCTCCATCCAGGATGGGCAATGCTACTGCTTTCCCCGGGGCGCCCGGCTCACCTGCAGATTGGAGATCCCCACGGCGGTGATGATCCCGAACATCACGACGAACATGCCTCCGATCACGGGGGCCGGGATGGTGGCAAACGCAGCCCCGATCTTCCCGAAGACACCCATCAGGAGCAGCACGCAGCCCGAGGCGACAATCACCATTCTGCTCCCCACCTGAGGCACCCGGAGATGGAGGAGGCACTCAGTCGCCTCCCAGGGACTCACAGCAGCAGCCCCAGCACCTAACCCCAAAGCGGCCCCCCTCAGCTCTCTCCCGGGGTTTGGGAAAGATGGGGGTGTAGCCAGGTGGCAGCTGGATATTGGGGTCTGAAGGCCTCACCCAGGCTGGGCCAGAGGGAAGTGGCCTCCCACCCAAGTTTCAGAAAGTGAGGCACTTCTCCAGGGTTCCCAAAGCCCCTGCCTTCCACAGGAGTCAGGACAGGCTTTCTGCCTGCAGAATGGCCACCACCAGGAAGGGCAAGCGTGGTAAGCGGAAGGATGGTCCTTCGAAGAATCACGTCCTCATCCCCAAACCTGGGACTATGTCACCTTGCAGGGCAAAGGGGACTCTGCAGATGTGATGAAGATGGAGGTTTTGAGCTAGAGAGAGCCCCGAGTGACGCAGGGAGGCCTGATCTAACCGCCCGGGTCCTTATAAGCAGAGGACCTTTCCTGGCTGTGGTTGGAGGGATGTGTGACTGCAGAAGAGAGGCCGGACGGAGGCAGCATTGCTGGCCTGGACGGTGGAGGATGGGGAACCGTAGCCCAGGTATGTGAGGGGCCTCTATCAGGGGTCTTCAAACTACGGCCCGCGGAGGAGTCTGATCCGGCCCGCCAGGTTTTTTGGGCAGTGAGTGCAGCCGAGGTGATATAGTAGGAATTAGTAGTTCATATAGTCCAGCCCTCCAGCTCTCTGAGGGACCGTGATCTGGCCCCCACTTTAAAAAGTTTGAGGACGCCTGCTCTAGGTGATGGGAAAAGCCAGGAGATGGATGCTCCTCTGGAGCCTCCAGGAAGGAACACAGCACTGCCAACACCTTTACCTCAGCCCCACGAGACCGTGCGCACCAGCACGGCCAGGGGAGAACCTGAGTGGGGGCGGTGAAGGATTGAGAAAAGACAGACAAGAGAAGAAAGCTGGGTCCGGGTGGGACGCTGCCCTCTCTGTAAGCTGTCTCTTTATTTTACAGCCAGATTTCACGAGGCAAACTAAGAGCGTGGTTACAACATTCTCATGGGCTTCAAATCTACTCAATTACGTGCCCCTGAACTCTATCAAGCCCACATCACCCAGACGCATGGGGCCAGGTGTTCGGACCATGGGTTCAAGCTCACAGCTATAACCTCTGGCTATCATTACGCTGGGAGGACTCTGCCCTCCAAGCTGGGACTTGCACGTGACTTTGCCATGAGAGGACTGTGCCTTCTCATTAGTCCAAAGCTTGAGCCTGTCCAAACTCTGTAGTCCCTCTCCACAAGACCCATGTCAGACTTTCGACCTCCGGATCAGTCAAATAAATTTGGGTTGTTTGTAATCACTAAGTTTGTGTTCATTTGTTGTAGCAGCAGTAGGTGACGGATACATTGAGGGACAGAGTTAGGTACCCCACCTGCCCCCAGGAGCCACCGTCAGCAGCCTTACCTTGGTGATACCCAGTGCCCCGACGTTCTCACTGTAGGAGGTGGTGCCGTTCCCTGTGCCCCAGGCCCCTGCCAGCAGACAGCCGAGGCCCTCAATTCCAATGCCACGGTTGATGGCATGCTTTGGAGGGGGTGGGGCCCCCACCAGCCGGGCACAGGCATAATAATCGCCTACTGATTCCACCACGGAGGCGATCACCCCGGCGATGAACCCAAAGACCCCAGCCAGGCTGATGGTGGGGAGACCCCACTGTCCTGGAAATGCAATGCAGAGGGAATGTTAACTCAGAAGATAACAGGGGTGCTGAACCCCAGTAATGTCTTTGCCGGAGGGGTCCCTGAAAGGCTTTAAAGACCGGGCAGCGTGTCTTGAACCTCACAACAGTCCGGAAGCTTTGGCTCGGACTCCTGCCCTATCCTTTCTCCTCGAGGCGGGGCAGGCACGCTGACCTTGAGGTCCCTGTGCACAAAAAGAGCCAGCAATGGAGTATCTCCCCAGAAAGGCCTCGAAGCATTTGGAAGATGAGAGTCTTACTCTGGCCAGGGCAGCCCCGAGGAACCTGATTATTCATACATCCTGAGCCAAGAACTGCGGGGGAAAGAGACCAGAAGGGGCTAAGGCAGTGGTCGGCAAACTGCAGTTCAAGAGCCACATGCGGCTCTTTGGCCCCGTGAGTGTGGCTCTTCCACAAAATACCATGGCCTAGGCGAGTCTATTTTAAAGAAGTGGCTTTAAAAGAAGTTGAAGTTTAAAAAATGTGGCTCTCAAAAGAAATTTCAACCGTTGTACCATTGATATTTGGCTCTGTTGACTAATGAGTTTGCTGACCACTGAGCTAAGGGATGGTCTTGAACTTGTTCTCATTCAGCCCCAAGCCTCCCTTGTGTGGGATCTAGCGAATGCGAGAGGAGACCCACGGGTCTGGCTGGAGGGTAGGGGCCTCTCTGTCCTCTCCCCACTCCCAGGCTCACGGCTCAGAGGGAGGTCTGGAGTGGGAGCCTCTTGAACAGCAACAAAATAATAAATACGGGTTGTTTGAAGCCACTAAGTTTGAGCTAATTTGTCACAGTAGAAAGAGGGGACTTTGAGTGACAGACTTAGGAACCCCACCTGCCCCAGGAGCCATCGTCAGCAGCCTTGGCCTGGTCATACCCAGCGCCCGACATTCTCACCTTTGGACGGGGTGCTATTCTCTGTTCCCATAGGATTCTTAAGACAACCCAGGTGTCACCTTCTTCTCTTTGGAGTCTGACACGGACTCCCCAAGGCCTGCCCCTCATTGTCAGATTCCTTAGAGGGAAACCCACCTCCAACCCCATTCATCTCTCCACCCTGTGCCCTGGGTCCGCCGGGCAGCCCTGGGATATGTGCCCCAGGCCAGAGGCGCCCCCCCCCCTCTTTATTACCTGGGTAAGGGAAGCGAAACCAAGGGGCCTGGCTCAGGACGTGGCCTTTGGTGTCTGTGCGGGCCAGGTACCCGTAGGCCGTGGGGGCCGAGGGCAGGGTGTTGGTCTCCGTGAGCACGAAGCACAGGAGCCAGGAGATGCAGAGCGCCAGCAGCACCTGCCAGAGGAAGGAAGCGCCTTCACCACCGAAGGCCCACCCTCCACCCCTGCCCTCGCCACCCCTCCCCGAAGGCCCTTCCAGGGACAACAGGAGTCAGCTGTGCTGTGGACAATCAGCACGTTAACAGAGCCAAGCGTAGAAAATAAACAACGGGGAGCCCTTAGTTCTAACAGGCAGAATGTCTACTAACGTGGGCACTTATTACAGTCTCCTTTTCTGCTGTTTGCTGGTCACATGACCTTGGATCGAAATCCTTTGAGCCTCAGCGCGCCCATCTGTGCAATGGAGGTACAATCCCTGTTCTGTGGAGCCTGAAGCAGGAGTTTTTACAGCTGGTCCTCAGATATTGGATTTTTCATTACAGGTGGCTCATACATTTTGGAATCACTGGCCTACAGGGGCGTTGAAGGACCCACGAGCTCATTCTGTGGAGGTATCTTCTTACAGTGGGCAGTGGAGCTGCCAAGCTGCAGTTACTTGGCAGCAGTGGTTCTCGGGTGACGCACATCAGCTGCATGATTGACAGCTGCAGGTACTTGACGGTGTGGTGCTCCCTCAGCAGAGAAGGCTCTGCAGAGGGAGATGCCAGCATCGTCACTGGGCACTTGAATTACCCACGAGCCAAACAAGAAAGAACCTGGTCTAAGCATCTTGTCCCCGAGTTTCATATCATTGGCCGTGAGCCTGGCCGTCTCCCCAGTGTCTGGCTGTGAGTGGCCCGGGAACATGAGGAGGCTGTCCCACCCCGGTGCCCAGAGCGGCACCCAGGGCAGGGTTCTCTGCTCCTGGGAGAGGAGCCCTGAGGGAAGACCGGGGATGGCGTTACCCCAACGGCCAGATAGTGTTCCCACAGACCACAGGCGGGCTGAGGGAGGTCACGGAGGGGAGGCCGCTGCAGGAGGGGGAGGGCCAACTGGGAGTACAAGACACGGCCTCTCACTCTCAACTAAGAATGGAAGAGATGGGCAGTCGGTCCTACTTACAGGGAAGAGCTGGAACAGGCGCACGCTGGACATGTGACACTTCTTCTGTCGTCCATACAGGGGCACGGGCACCGCGATGTGCTTCAGGTACTGAGAAAACAGCACGATGAGGAAGATGGTCCTGAAACAGAAACATGCCACACCCAACCTGGCAGCCAGGCCGCCCTACGCGAGGGAGGGCCCAGGACGCTGAGCCGCCGGGGGAGGTCCCCGCCAAGCCCTGCTCTGCAGCTCAGGCAGCGTCCTGCCATCCTGCTGGCTGTTCCCTTTCAGATGTGGCTGGTGGCTGCAGAGAACTACTGGGAAGTGGGGGTGAGGGTAGAAGTCCCTGTGGGTGGCAGCTGAGTAGATCCAGCAGCTGGAGCCACGAGGCCAGGGTCTGAGACCGCCTTCTCTCCCAGGTCATTCTGCAAGTGCTGTGGTCAGACCACAGGGGCAGAGTGAACGAGAGCATCCAGCGTCATCCTCAAGTCCCTGCAGAGCTCTGTTTGCATGCTGGGGGCCTCTCTGTCCAGGACGCCGGAGGCCAGAGGTTTACAAACAGTTGCTCAATGAAAACTTGGTAGGCAGGGAACTGGTGGTGTTAACTTAACTGTGAACCCCACACGAAGTCTGTGTGTACTAACGACATAGTAAATAGCAGTAATATATATATAAAAGGCTAAGCAACCATCTGGCAGTTTGACTGTCCAGGAGCTATGATGGCACTGACCACCAGGGGGCAGATGCTCAACACAGGTGCTGCCAAGCTGCAGTGACTTGGCAGTGTTTCTCGGTGATGCACCCTGAAACCAGAGAGGAGGGACCCTGATTCCTGGCGGGGCCCTGTGATTCCACCTTCAGCCACGGGTTATGTTGTTACTGGGGCACTGTCGGCCCCGAATCTGGTTCACTGCACACTTGCATTTGCATTCCACACCCTGTATGACAGCGACTTTGCAGTGCCCTCTCGCACTCCGAGGGACCCCTCAGGGATGTTGGAGAGTCGGTTTTGGCCCTATCCCCGCAGGCCAGGCCAAGGGACCCCATATGCCGGAGGGACGCCGCTCACCCTGAAGACGCCCTTTGAGCCATGGGGCCCAGGTGCAGCCGGCCAGGGAGGGACCGTGGGAGGTTGGCTCCAGGGTGTGGCCAGCCCGTCTTGCCCAGTCCCACCCCACCAGCCACTTTCTAATTAATTTCCTCTCAATGTGCACGAATCCGTGCACCTGGCCACTAGTAAATTATAAGCAGCAATCTCACTGCTTTTTAAGGCATCATAATGCTCTTGGGAGTATTTGTAAAGCACAGAGTTGGCCAATATCCAGGACTCTGGGTTTTCTTGCCGAGTAATCTTCCACCAAAGAGAACCCAGACGGCTCTCCCTCCCGGGAGAGGACTTACATGGCGGCGATCCCCCAGTGGGCTCCGGCATCGTTGCCCGCAGAGTCGAAGAGGGGCAGGGCCATCAGGGAGATGGTCGGAGCGATGGTCAAGGGGCCAATGAAGCGCATGAGGTAGCCAACGAGTCCCGAGAAGCCCACAAACATCTGGACGCAGGAAGCGGCCATGATGACGCCCTGCAACTGAAGAGCGGGCAGCTCAGGCATCTGGGAGCCTGCAGCAGACAGCGGGTCCCAGCACAGCCCAGCCAGGCCTCTGCCACAGCTGTCACCCCTGGGTGCTGCACTCAGAGGCAGTGCAGAGCAAAGCGGGACCCCAGAGACACCGAGGGAAGGAGAACTCTGAGCTCGCTCCTCTCTCTAGTTCTGGACTACCTGACGGACATTTTCACTTAATACGAACCTTCTCAGGAAGTAGCTTTCGAAAGTATGTATTTCCCTAAATCGGCAAACCACGACTCGGGAGCCATATGTGGCTCTTTGGCCCCTTGAGCGTGGCTCTTCCACAAAGTAACATGTGTGGGCGCACAAACAGTGCAATTGAAACTTCGTGGCCCATGCGCAGAAGTCGGTTTTTGGCTCCCAAAAGAAATTCCAATCGTTGTAATGTTGATATTTGGCTCTGTTGACTAATGAGTTTGCCGACCACTGTATCAGACAACTCATAAAAGGAGGTTGAAACGTGTGACAGCCTCTGGTTGATAGCCCTGGTGAAAAGCGTGGGGCCAGCAGATGGAGCTAAAGTGCCGGAGATGGGACTCTGGGTTGGGCTCATTGTATTGAACCCTGGGAGGCAATGTGGGAATAAGCCATAGTGTCTATTCCCTCTCATTGGTCAAATATGGGTAAGAACAGGGATCTTGTACCATGTCCCTCTTCTGATGTCCCTCTTCCGTTATGCTTCGGATACAGGGGATGTGACCACAGATGCAGCCATGAGGCTCGGCGGGGTACTGAACATGGATGGGGGTGGGCTGCAAGATGGACCCCGCTGGCGTAGGGCTTCCTGGCCTGGCTCCCAGGGATATCTAGGGAACAGACTGCTCAGCTCAGGAATGTCTCTGGTTCAGGTCTAGTGAGTCTGCAGTGAGTGGGGCAATTCGTGGGGTCACATTCAGGCCTGAACAGACTTTGTACTGGAGCCCCATGATCATGGGGTGCTCAGGGAAGGCTGCCCCTGCTCTGCTGGGGGTGACCCCTGGCCCAGCTCCAGGCAGGGTGATTCAGGTCTGCGGGAAGGGAGATGGTTGGGCTTCCTGGAAATCTGAAGTGACCGTTATTCTAAGGTGACCAGATCGTCCAGGTGTTGGCTGGACAGTCCTGATTTCTAACAATTTTTCCCGCGTCCCGCAGTGTTTTAAAAAAGTCCTGATTTGCCAAAGCTAGTTTGGCTCAGTGGACTGAAAGGTCCCAGGTTCGATTCCGGTCAAGGGCATGTACATTGGTTGCGGGCACATCCCCGGTAGTGGGTGTGCAAGAGGCAGCTGGTCAATGTTTCTCACTGACGTTTCTAGCTCTCTATCTCTCACCTTTCCTCTCTGTAAAAAAATCAATAAAATATATTATTAAAAAAAAAGTCTCGATTTTTGGAAAGATTGTTAGCATTGGAAAGATTCTTTCCAAAAATCGGGACTTTTTAAAAATGCCGTGGGACGTGGGAAAAATTGTTAGAAAGCAGGACTGTTCCGCCAACTCCTGGGCGATCTGGTCACCTTACTTTATTCTCTTATATAGCACCCCCCCCCCCCCCTGCCAGCCCTCAGGTGAGGATGTGGAGATGGGGAAACTACCCAGTTTCCTGCCCCTGGGGGTGGGACTGAACTCTCTGCCGAGAGTCCTGAGTAGCTATTGCTTAGAGAAGCCCCCCGGGAGCTTGGCCGAGCTGCCGAGCTCACGCCCAGGCCAGCAGCTCCTTTCCCTCGATGGACACCCAGATTGAGCAGGGGCAGGTCTTATATAGAGAAGCACATGGCACAACCATCCAAAGTGGGCAGACGGAGCGGCCAGTCCCCACTAGTAGACACCTGGTCCTGCGCATTGGTTTTCCCTTTAATCTGAGCCTCCTGGGGATATGGTCAATATGGCACTTGTGCATCCATGAAACACTTGTAGCAGAATGTCGGAAAAACTCTACGTGCTTAGTAACGATGACCTGCTGCTACTATCTACTATCATCACCACCATCACCATCACCATCACCATCATCATCACAATCATCATCATCATCACCCCCATCCTCCCCCTCCTCCTCATCAACACTGTGATGTGTCTCTCTCCTCTTTGCTTCCTTGCACTTAGCACAACTCTTGGCATCAACCGTGACATCTGATGAGTTAATATAAGACAAGAGTACTGCCCGCTGCCTGCTCTGCCTCCTGGGACTGGCGAGGAAAATGCTTGCGCTCTCCCGCCTTGAAATTTGTGACATATGATGCATCTTCAGTCCCTCTCCACCTTTTCTGCCCGGCAGCCCCAATCCCTCTGTTGCTCATCACCCTGCTTGATTTTCTTCATTACACGTATGACTCCCTGAAATCTCCCCCTTTTACTTCCTTATTGGGATATTTTTGTCTCTCCCTCCCACCCTGGCCTGCACAGCCACACGCTAGGACATGAGGTCCTCCTTGTCTAACTTAGCGTCAGCAGTCTCTGAATGCCCCGGCCTTTGCCTAGAGGTGAACTGAATAATGAATGTTGAACAAATGAATCAACACAGTAACCCCCACTGAGTACCCCTCCATGCCACACACTGCCCCCCAGCCCCTCCCTCGTGTCCCGTTACCTCTCGGATCCTCATCTGCCATTCCTCGGTGAATTCAGGAGAGCTGGTGTTCACCTGGCTGGCATTGAGTGTCCAGTCAGGACACTTCCACGTGGGAAGGGAGAGCATGGCCAGGGAGGGTGCCACAAAGGTAAACGTCCCTCCCTGGAGAATGGGCAGCCTGGAGGGGGGGAAGCACACAGTCACCCCCACGGTTCTTTACCACTGGCCTGTCACTGCCCCAACGAGGGGCCTTTTCATCCCCAGAACGATCGATAGCTAGGGCTGGAGGCAACACATGACGCCTGCTGTTCTCCCTACACAGGGAGTTCCTGCGACGCCTCCACTCAGACCCACGAGCCCTGACAAACCTCTCGACAGGTAGGAGAGGGAAGGGGAAAGACAAGCAGACCTAACCCCCCTCTTGGAGATACAAGCCCAGGAGCAGAGCGTCAGGCTCTGGGAAATAATCTGGAGACAGCACAGAGCTCAGCACGCACGCTCAGTGGATGCCATTGTCTACCCGGGTCCCAGATCTTCCCCAGAACCAGAGCACAGCTCACACCGCCACCTTCTCCCACCAATAAGAGAGACACTGCTTAACATCTCGGTTGCAAGATTCCCTTGTGCCTTCAAAAATGAACCTCAGTCCAGAGACTTCTACTTTCAGGCTCCTTTTCATCACCTGGATGGAATGGGTTTGAGGTCAATAATCAGGGCTGCTCCCTGCCCAGACCCTTCTCCCTCCTGGTCAGCCTGTCACTCTGGCTGCTGTGAGGACTGCCCTTCAAGGAGCACACAGCCTGAGGGCCAACCTCCAGCAATCCTCTCTCACCAGGACACAGCCTGATCTTGTTCCAAACAGGACTTCAGGAGACTCACAAATACGTTATGATATATTTAGGACCTGATACTCTACACTCAGACCCTCCCATTGCACTTCCCACCAGTTCCTTCTCCTGCTCCCCACCCTGTATGGCCCACACTCAGTCTCAGGAACCATTGTTGAGGCCACATTCCCGATGCACCCTGCCTTTCTCTTTGCTTTATTGTCTAAGTTAATAAAGAATAAACCTTTGCCTGAGCTAATCTGAACTCATGTATGGGTTGAAGCTAGGACTTGAAACCAGGTTTTGACTGCTAGCCCTGTGCTCCGTCTGTTACGTCCTACCAGCTTCCTAACCTCCTTTCTGGCTGCAACCCAAGCACACTTTCCCGATACCTTGGCAGGTGGAAGTCAGAATCCACAGGGAGAAGTTGTACCTACCTGACTCCAAAAAGCACCTGCAGGAGAGTGCAGATGCCAGCGACGAAGAACATGGTGCTGATGAGGTAGCTCTGTGTGAGGGGGTCATGCTGCAGACACAGCCCCTTGGCCAGGATGAGCGGCACAGCCACGAGTCCCCCCAGGGCAGTGATGAAGTGCTGTGGGCAGAGCAGAGAGAATGGGCAGGCACTGCGTGCGGTGGATGCCTGCTCCGCCTTCATTCTGGTTTCTAGGCCAGAGGTGAGAGGTGGTCAGGAGGTGGTCCTCTGAGAACCTGGTCAAGAGTAACAGACAGGCAGAGATCCGGGCCAGCAGTGGGGCCCAAAGAAAGCCTGGCAGCAAGAAGCAGGAAACTAGCCAAGAGATCTAGAGTTGAAGGGCAGGACCCTAGTGTCAGACACTGACACCCGGGTAAGAAATCAAGGCAGGAATACAGCACAGGAGGACTTACCAGGAACCAAGGAGGGGGCTTTAAGAACAAGGTGGGGCCCTGGCTGGTTTGGCTCAGTGGATAGAGTGTCAGCCTATGGACTGAAGGGTCCTTGGTTTGATTCCAGTCAAGGGCACATGCCTGGGTTGCAGGCTCAATCCCCATGGCCAGGCGGGGCGGGGGGGGGGGGGGGGGGGGGGGTTGCGGGAGGCAGCCGATCAGTGATTCTCTCATCATAAATGTTTCTATCTCTCTCTCCCTTTCCCTTTCTTTCTGGAATCAATAAAAAAAAATTATTTTTTTTTTAAAGAACAAGGTGGGAGAACCAAGATGGCAGCGTAGGTAAACGCCAGTACCCACTGCCTCCCACAGCCACATCAAAATTACAGTTAAAATACTGAACAACCATCAATTAGAACCATCCGGAAGCTGGCTGAATGGAAGTCCTACAATCAGAGAAGTAAAAAAGAAGAAAGCCCATTGAGACTGGCAGGAGGGATGGAGATACAAAATGGGCTAGTCTGATACCCACATGTGCCTGTTTTTATCATCCGGGATGCATATCGGCTGCAGAGGCCTCCCATAAGGAGCAAGTGGTTCCAGCCCCACACCAGCCCCCCAGCCCAGGGTTTCAGAGCTGAGAAGAGAAGTTCCCGTAACTTCAGACTGTAAAAACCAGTGGGAACTGTGACTGAATGACAGAGGCTTCTGACCAGGTGTTTCTCTTAAAGGGTTAGCACACAAATGTACTCAGACTCTATCCCTCTGAGCTCTAGTGACAGGTGGCTTTGGGGGACCCACGGACATATGGGGAAGAACTGGACTGTCTGGCATCAGGGCAGGAACTTGGGGGTGACTTTCTCCCAGACAGAGGTGCTTGTGGGGGTCATTGTTCCTGTGCTGGAACCTCTCCCATCCCTTACAGCCATATCTAAGTCTCCATTAGTCTGATTCATACTGTTCACCTTGGTGATTCCCTGAGACCTGCCCCATCCAATTTGTAGCTCCACCCAAGCTGTTTGCATAGGCTTTTTCCATTTGAATGGCCTGTTCTAGTCAGGCTTCAGACTTTCCTAAAATCTCTCAAACAAGCAGCAGCTGGCATCAGTGTGCCCCAAACCTATCAATAAAAGGTTCAAGACCTGGCACTAGCACCAGCTGCCTTGCTTCATGTCTGGGCGCTTCCAAGCCCAATACAAGTAGCAGCCACCTGCAGACTTCTCTGTAGCTCCTACCAGGTAGCACTGGGCATTGGCTGACTTTGCACTTCCTCAGAGGCCCTAGAGCCAGTGCCCCAAGTGGTCAGCATCAGACCATACAGATTACAACTCTATACATCCACAAGCAACATACTCAAGGAACAGACTCAGTGGGCACCAAAGCCCCACGGAAGCAAGTCCTTCTCTATAGGGGTGTCTCCTGCACAGCAGCTCTTTCACTGTAGATACAGCTGGTCCTCACAGCCAATTGGCCTGAAGGTCAATTCCTCCCAGGGATGCCAACAGCAATCAAGGCTCAACTATAACAGCACAGTACATACAGCCCCAACAGGGACACATCTAGAGTGTCCAGCTCAGGTGATTGAAGAGTCTGAGCCACTGGGCTCTACAGGACCCCTAATACACTCTACCAATTTCAGGAGACATTGCAGCTATACCTAATACACATAAACAAATACAGGGCAGCAGCCAAAATGCAGAGACAAAGAAACATGTTGCAAATGAAAGAAATGGAAGAAAGCAAACTACTAGATACTAAGTTCAAATCAATGTTTCCAATGTTTGCTCAAGGATCTTAATGAGAGCTTTAAGGGACTTAGTGAGACTTTCAAGGATCTTAGTGAGAATTCCGAAGACAAGAAAAAGGACCAGTCAGGAATTAAGCATATACTAATTGAAATAAAGAATAATTTATAGGGAGTCTATAGTAGAATAGAGGATTCTGAGAACCAAATCAACAATTTGGAATATGAAGAAGAAAAAGCACCCAGTAAGAAGAGCAAAAAGAAAAAATAATTTAAGAAAGTGCCCGTATAACTGTCAGCTGATTGCTCAACAGAAACTATGCAGGCCAGACAGGAGTGGCAAGAAATATTCAAAGTGATAAATAGCAAGGACCTACAACAAAGATTACTCTAACCAGCAAAGCTATTATTTAGAATTGAAGGTCAGATAAACAGCTTCACAGACAAGGAAAAACTAAAGGAATTCATCATCACCAAACCAGTATTACATGAAATGTTGAAGGGTATTCTTGAAGAAGAAGAAGAAGAAGAAGAAGAAGAAGAAGAAGAAGAAGAAGAAGAGAAGAAGAAGAAGAAAATGGAAATAAATACATATCTATCAACAATTAGAATCTAAAAATCAAAATAAATGAACAAGAATTCTAATGAACAAAATAAACTAGTGAATAAAATAAAATCAGAGGCATGGAAACATGGAACAGACTGACAATTACCAGAGGGAAGGGTGAGGGAGGTGAAAGAGATTAATCAAAGAATTTATATGCATTACTTATGGACATAGACAATAAGGGGTGAAGGCTTGTAGCAGGACAGGAACTGGGTGGAGGAGGGCAATGGGGGGAAAAGAGAGACATATATAATACTTTCAAAGATTTTTTAAAAAATAAAAAATATTTCTGAAATATAATAGCAACCATACTTGGGTAAAAACTGCTGTTTGAATTTTAACCATGCTGTTTTGGCTTCTGCACCTGCTTAAACATAGGGTAGTAACCTCAGCTTCCAGGTTGAGACGTGGAGGCTAAGGCAATTTTCCTGTGCCTGGGACCAGAAATACAGGAGATGGATTCCCACTGATTCAGTAGCTTCAGGGGTAGAAACTGTAGATAACCTTTAGAGATTAACCACTGAGTTTTGCTTCTGTATTATCGGCTATCGCAAGATAGGGCCACATTCCAATGTTCCCAGCCTTTAGAATTTAGAACAAAGGAAAATTCCAGTGGTTTGAACCTTTAAAAAGACTACCTACTCCTGGAACAGTGCTGTCTGTGGACTCCACCTGCGTGTGGTGCTCTCGCAGGCATCCTGGCCAGTTTTTCAATAAATCCTTGTCTTTTTTTTTTTTGTCTTTTTTTTTCTTTTTTTTTTTAATCAATCATCAGCCTCCAGTGGTCTTATTTTGAACCCAGGATTGGACCCCACAACAATTTCCTCTAAAAAAAGTAACAAGAACAAGATGAGAGGTTCATTATGAAAACAAGGCACAAGGTAGGGGCAAGACCATTGACCAGGAAAACCTGAACTCATTCTCCCGAATAGATCCTATGTTGAAGTCACAAAACAGCCATATCAAACTTAAGAATATTGAAATCATGCCCAGCCATTGTGGCTCAGTGGTTGAGTGTCAACCCATGAACCAGGAGGAAAGGGCTTGATTCCTGATTAGGGCACATGCCTGGATTTCAGGTTTGATCCTCAGCAAGAGGCAGGTGATCAACGATTCTATCTTATCATTGATGTTTCTATCCCTCTCTCCCTCTTCTTTCCTCTCTCTGAAATAAATTAAAAATATTTTTAAAAGAAGATTGAAGTCATACCTCAAAGGAACTAGAAAAGAACAAACTCATCCCAAAGTTAGCAGACGGAAGGAAATAATAAAAAATTGAGCAAAAATAAATTAAAGAGGCCAAAAGAGCAATAGCAGAGATCAACAAAACTAAGAGGTGTATTTTTAAAAAGACAGACAAACCCTTAGCTAGACTAAGAAAAAAAGAGACAACACAAAGAAATAAAATCAGAAATGAAAGAGGAGCCATTACAACTGACACAATAGACACAAAGTACTGTAAGGCACAAATTAGATAAATTCATAGAAACACACAACTTACCAATACTGAATCATGAAGAAATAGAAAACCTGAACAGACTGCTAACGAATGAGAAGTTTGAATCAGTAAACTTCCAACAAAGAAAAGCCCGGACAGAACAGATGGTATCACTAGTGAATTCTACCTAACATTTAAAGAAGAATTAACACCAATCCTTCTCAAACTCTTCCAAAAAATTGAAGAGGGAACACTCCCAAACCCATTTTATGAAGCCAGCATATATATAACCTGATACCAAAGCCAGATAAAGACACTACAGGAAAAGAAAACCATAGGCCAAAGAGTCTTAATGAATATAGATGCAAAAATTCTCAACAAAATACTAGCAAATGGAATTAAACAGTACATTGAAAAGATTATACACCATGACCAAGTGGAGTTTATTCCTGGGAATGCAAGGATGGTTCAACATACACAAATCAATAAATATGATACACTATATTAATAAAGGATAAAAATCATATGATCATTTCAATAGATGCAATAAAAGCATTTTACAAAATTCAACATCCTTCATGATAATATTCCTAAATTAATCATTTTATTGGCTTATATTTTAAAAACAGTATGATAGCCCTAGCCAGTTTGGCTCATTGGATAGAGCATTGGCCTGTGAACTTAAAAGTCCTAGGTTCAATTCTAGTCAAGGGCATCTACCTCGGTTGCAGGCTCTCCACCCTGTTTGGGGGGTGTGGAAGGCAACCTATTGTGTTTCTGTCTCTCCCTCTTCCTTCCACTCCCTCTAAAAATCAATGAAAAAAATGTCCTCAGGCAAGGATTAAAAAACAATGCTTTAAGACATTTGCTCTTATTTTATAGAAAAGCACAAAGAAGCAAACAAAAATGTATATCGCATCCCAATATGCCACATGGAACAGTTCGTAAAATTAGAAGAAACACATATATGAGATTAGAAAATCCATGCAATCAAAAGTTACAAAAGAAGTGAAAGTTGAAAGCTACGGTTAAATACCTTTGTTAGTTTCTTGTGAATCCTTCAAAACATATAAAATTACTACGTATACTTATTTCTATCGTCCTTTTTATCACGCTATGCACAGCTATTTACTATGCTCTTTTCACTTAATATATCTAGGAGAACATTCTCTAACCATGGGGTAAATATTTATTTCTCTTTTTAACAACTTCATAAAAACATCACTTGTTAGATTATGTCACAAATTATTTAACCAGTTTTCTACGGTGGATATTTTGTTTGCTTTGTTGTGTGATTTTGGTTTTACTATTATCAGTAATGCTAGAAGAACATCTTTGTATTTATCTTAACAAGTCTAATAAGCATATCCTCAGAGAAATTCTTACGTCTCAGGATTAAAGGGTATTTGCGTATTACATGTTAATAGAGATCACCGAATTGTCATCTAGGAAGGTTGTACCAAATAACATTCCAACAAAAGTGCTTGTTTTTCAGAAGTTCCCAGGCATTGGTTGTCGTGCTTTTTAGTTGTTGCCAATCAAATAAATTAAAAGTGGTATCTTTGTAAAACAACAGCAACAAAAACACACCACAATGTCCCAGTCATTGTCTTTAGAGATAGAGAATCCTCCTTAGTTCCTTCCCCCACCCCGAAACTCCTGGAGAGAGAGACCCAAGAAGCCCTGAGTTCCCTTGGAGGTCAACTACAAGGAAGACAAGAATATCCACAACTGAAGTGTGGATCTTGACTAATTTGACCTGGGTGTGTACTGATGTGGCTTTTGAGTCAGTGCTCGTTGGGTGGCATTACCTGGATCCCCAAGATGATGCAGAGATACCATGGTGGAATGTCCAGGATGCCATAGGCCAGGTCGCTGCTGCTGGGACTCCTGTGATGGCCATCCTTCTTCCTGTGATGGCCATCCTTCTTCCTGCCTTGGCCATCATCATAGATGGTGACCACACCATCACGCTTCTGCTGGGAACAAGACAAGGACACATTTGGGCGTTTCAAGAGGAATCAAGTGGACTTCCTGTTCAGCCACACAGAGGCCAGAGGCATGAGACAGGGGTAACTGTTGGCCAGCTGGGGCTTTCTAGGTCCAAACTCAGAAGGCCAATGGTTTTCTATATTATACCTCCCAGCAGGCCTCCCGTGTGAAGTCTGGGGCCATGCAAAGGGAGTGGATGCCAAGCCAAAGCCCTGGCAGAGAAGCAGCTTTGTGTAGGAAGGGACGGGGTCAACGCCAAGGTCAGAACACGGGCATGTTTATCTCCCAACCAGTCAGGAAAAGGGGGATCCTGGTCCCAGAATGATGAAGCTGTCCCAGGCCGTGTGCTGACATCTGCCAAAGCTCTCATCACAGCACGTTTATTTGTTTTTATTATTTTTAAAATATTTTATCGATTTTTTACAGAGAGAAGGGAGAGGGATAGAGAGCTAGAAACAGCGATGAAAGAGAAACATAGATCAGCTGCCTCCTGCACACCCCCTACTGGGGATGAGCCTGCAACCAAGGTACATGCCCTTGACTGGAATTGAACCTGAGACCCTTCAGTCCCCAGGCTGATGCTCTATCCACTGAGCCAAACCGCTCATTATAATAAACAGGCACAGCATGTTTATTATAATGAGCGTTTTCCTCATCCACCTCTTCTGCTGGGATGTGAGTTCCTAGAATACATGGATCGGGCCCTTGGCCTCCCGTGTGTGCCTGTGAATGAGCTCAGGGGGCTGCGGCGGGCACAGCTGTGTGTGTCCCACCAGCGAGCTGTCACAGCCCCCACTCCACCCTCCGGGCTCATTTCCTAACACCCCCATTCACCGGCTCTAGCCATCGGGACTGCCCAGGTCTCTCCCACGGAGGCCTTCCTTATCCTGCACCCAGGACTCCACATCTCCTCCTCCATCCCCTCTCCCGACGTCCTGCCCGGCGTGAGTTCCCTGCCTCGGACTCCTAGCGCATTTTGTCTCCCTGTTCAGTAAATAACTCCCTTAAAGAAGAAATACTTCCGTGTACCCTGCTCTCCCCTAGTGAGGCCATAAGCTCTCAGGGTTGGGAAGCTATCTTCCTGTGTTTATAGCCCTAGGGCGTTTCTGCAGAGCAACTTGTGCGTGAAAACCAAACGCATCCCAGAGCAGCGCCTTCTCTCCGCTGGGTGCTGACGCTGAGGCTCTGAGGAAAATGAAGAGAAGACAGGTCGCTCAAAGGAGCCGGATCCCTGCCCAGACCCCTCCACTGGCCCATAAGCCCCAAACGTGGCAACCATCACAGCCTTCCGAAGAGGGGGTCTTCTTTGACTTAAGATTTGTTTAGTTTGGGGTTTCTCTGTGGGGCAAGGGGGCCTCCATGAGGTAGTGGTAGAAATGATTCTGAGAAGAAAAAAGGAGTGTTCTCTCAGGTGCCCCCACGGTTTTCTGGAAGAGGGGCCAGGGCTTCCTGACCAGAGGCTGGCCCTGCCGAGCGGCTCCAGCAGACAGCCGGGAGCCCGGCCCGGATTGCATCCTGCAGACACCTTGGCTGAGCATCACCAGCCGCAGCCCTGGCCTGGCGTGCAAGGAGGGGCTCCTTCTGCCTGCGGTGGCCGGTGGCCAGAGCAGAGCCCCCGCACACCCCTCTCCCGTGGCCAAAATAGGTTTCAGAGGTGGTAGTGTGAACAAAAAGAGCCACATGCTACCCTGACAAACTCAGGGGAGGCCTGCGTGGCAGTCTTGCAAACTCAAAGACCTAAAATAACCACAAGCAGAAACTGGTAGATAACAGTGTCAGCCTGCGGACTGAAAGGTCCCAGGTTCGATTCCAGTCAAGGGCATGTACCTTGGTTGCGGGCACATCCCCAATAGGAGGTGTGCAGGAGGCAGCTGATTGATGATTCTCTCTCATTGATGTTTCTAACTCTATATCCCTCTCTCTTCCTCTCTGTAAAAAAAGTCAATAAAATATATTTAAAATAAAATAAATAAAAATAAAAGTAAAATAACCACAAAAGATGGTTTGAAAATTAAATATTTAAACTACAAACAGGTTATAGTGGGTAGTCACGTCCTAGAAAGATATTTTACCTGACAAGATCAGCTTAGATCTTCCTTCCTGAGCCCATTTGCCTTTAGGCCTCTAAGATAACATATCTGTGAGATGTCTAGGTAACTTGTAACTTCCTTTTTCTGGAGTCCCCCCCCCCCCCCCCCCACAACCCAATGTGGTGGGTGCCAGGACAGAAGCCTCAAATTCCTTCTTTACCATGTTAACTGTTCCTGTACTCACCTAAGCTACCTGTCCATCATTTAATTTTTATCCAATCCTAGGGCTTTCCCACCGCTTTGGTTTATCCCACCTCCTTAATCTGTCACCAATGAATTTTATGTAACCCACCTCGGTCCCTCCTTTGATTGCACTATATAAATAGGAATGTAACCCGCCATTCTTCAGAGCATTATCTCATTGAGATAATCTGCTTCCCCGAATATGCCAACAGTTTGGCTCAAATAGACTTACAAAAATTCTTTACAGGTTTCAATGTTTTTGTGTGTTTTTTTTCATTAACAGTAGGGACAGGCTTACCCTGACTTTACTTCCTTGGGCCTCAGTTTCCCCGTTTGTAAAATGGGAGCAGAGAGCTTGCTCCATGGGCTCCAAAGCACGAAATAAAGTGCATAAAGTGCCTGGGGTATTTTGACTGTTGAGGAAATACCAGTTCCATATCTCTCTCTCTCTCTCTCTCTCTCTCTCTCTCTCTCTCTCTCTCTCTCTCTCTCCCACCCTCCCCCCCTCTCTGCCCTTTAGCTTTGCTTCAAAAAGGATCTCTGATCCAAGGAACCATAACCTGGAAAACAAACATTTAGATCCAGGACAGTCCGACCTGTGAGTAAAGATAAAGCCAAGAGTTTTCCATCTCTTCCTCCCCTTTGTGATTCATTCACAGAGGTCAGCACTCAGGGAAGGATCATTGCCCTGGCGATGGTGAGGTCCCAGCATAGCTGCTCCCCCTGTCTAACCATTGCACCATCGCAGATCTTCAGCACCTAAGCCATCGATCTGTTCTTCCTTCTTCCCCTAATGATGAATCATGCATTGGGGCTCCATGCTAGGGCCCCTCCAGGGTTCTCCGATCCCTGCAGCCCCCCCCCCCCTCCCAGCACTCACCAAGGGGTCAGGGTGCTCACGGCTGGTGATGGCAGAATCCATGGCAACTCAGGTCTTCTCCCTTGGGTGTCCTCTCAGGATAGGAAAGAACGGGAGCCTCTCTAGGAGAGAAAGATTAACTTCTCAAAGCCTGCTGAAATAACAAGAAAAAGAGAAAGACAGGTATCCCAGCTGGCTCTGGGGAGGGTGGGGCCTCCAAGCCCCACCCCCTGATAGACACCAGACTTCCCCACCTCACCTCACCTCACCCCTGCCCCATTCCCCTCCCTCTCTGGCCTCTGCAGGGGACCAAGGTGCACTCTGCTGTAGCCAGTGTTCCACACTGGGACAGGTTAGAACAATTAGAGAAGTTAATGATCCCCTTGACACAAGGAAACAAGCCAGGGGGGCAGCCCTTCTTGGTGTGGCAGCACACTTTCCTGGAAGCCTGGATGGGAGGTGAGGGTGAGGCTCTGGGCCAGAGACATCTCACTTATCTGAAGCCGATTCTAGTTACTGGCTGAGCTGGAATGAAAACATTGCAAACACTGCCCTTGGGCCTGGCTCCTGAGATGCATTCATGAGGTCATTAATGAGGAAAAGAGGATTGCCGTTGATCTGGGAGGAGCTGCCAAGGCTCCTTGGTGGGGCAAAGCCTGAGGAGAAATGCCTCCAGGCCTGGGTGAGTCTCTGTAACAGCCAGGAATGCCTAACACCCCACCTTCTGGGGGAGAGAAATCCAGGGAGGGGTCGTGTAGCTCTAGGAAACAGGGTGCGTGGAAGGCTCTAGGAAAAACCCTAGAGGAAGCCCATCTGTGAAGTTCATAGCAAGCCACGTGCCAGTTAGTCAGGAGGGCAAAATGCTCTGGAATGGGCGGCGCTGAGTCTCAAGGTTCTGGAAACACATAGCTGTAGGCATGGTAGGCACGCGGACGTCAGTGGAAGTTGATCCGAGAGCAAGCCCTGAAACACACAACAATAAGATTAGGTATGTCACGAGGGAGGAGACAGCCCCAATCTGGGCTGTGACAGAAAGGCAAAGGTCAGAAGAAAGCCAAAGGTCACCAAGTAGCTGGCCTTCACGGAACACTTAAGCACCGACGCTAAGATCCATCTGTTTCATGTGGTCGTGTTTTATGTTCACAACAAAGGAGCATCCACATCCCTATTTCACGGATTGAGAAATTCAGGGCTTGGTGGGCTGAGTGATTTGCCCAAGGTTACGTACAGCAAACGCTGGGACCGAAATTCAAATCCAGACCATCAGGTTCCACAGCCCTCGGGGGTCAAGGAGATGCCAAGTGGCGATGTGCAGGCCGTGCGGGTCTGAAGATGGGCAGGCGGAGGCTCAGGGAAGATCTTGGCCCCGGAGAAGCCCCCCACCCTCTCCCTGGATGAAAGCATTGATCCTCTACCAATGGCCCCAGGGACCCCAAGTTCACCTCAGAAGTGAAGGTGAGACTCAGCGTCCGGAGGGCATGGCACTGTGTCCGTTGGTTCCCTCCCCCCCTTCCCCCCAGCACACTCCGTGGCAGCTCCCTGAGCTGGACAGTTGTGCGGTGAGGACAGGGAGCAGGTGTCCAGGTTCACGTGGAGCGGCCCAGCCTTGTCCCCGCAGGAAGCCTGGCTGGTGTGGGTCGGAGGAGAGCTGCCTCCGCTGCCCACCACAGCCCACCCTCGCGACCTGCGGGCATGGGCAGAGTTGGGTTCACACTGGACATCTCTTCTCCATGTCACACCTTGAAGGCAACATGGAAGAAGGGGCTTCACAGAGACCCTGCCCTTCCCGCACTGCAGGTCCTGCCTTGGCTGGCTCTGCCCTCCCTGCCGCTTGTCTAGCCCACAATTCAACCCCTCTGGAGTGGGAGGTAAGGGTTTGGGTTAGCAGCCCACTGGAGGCAACGCAGAGAGATGGTCTCCTGTTACCCACTTCGTTTGATTGCCTGAATGCCATTCTTCATCGTCAAGTCCTCCCTCTCTTCAGGGCCTGGCACAAGGTTCTTTATGCAAGTCCTTTCTGCATCCACCCTTTGGCTTGTGGGCACTGCTTCGGCCCATGGAGTCCCCACCTCCCTCAGCGGCTCAGGTGAGGAGCTAAGCTTTCCTTCCCTCAGAAGTCACCGCTGCAGACTTTGCTCCTTCCACTCATTGGCCTGGTCTGCCTCCTGCCAGCATCTCTCATCTGCAAGCCACTGTGGTGCCCCACAGCCCTCCCCCAGCTTCAGCCGCCCAGTGGTGGCCTTGACTTCCCTCACATCCTTGATTTACAACTTCACGGTTTAAATAACCCTCTACACACAGCAGCCTGAGGTTCACCACACCCCCAGCACATTCACAGGTGATTGTGTATGGCCCTTGTGCTACAGAATGAGTTACGGAAATCTAGTTCTACTAATTAGCAACGAGAGGAATTTGTTTTAAGAATGTGGATTCTCTCTGGGAACTCATGATCTTTCCTCAAATACACAGAGAAGTTAAAACTCTTTCCCACTAAAGCTCCCAATTCCAAATCCAAGGCAGCTGCTCAGGACCCAGGCGCTGTGGGAGAAGGAAGGCGCCGGGCCTCTGGGTTTGCAATGCCTGGTGGCTCCGCTGGATGCTCCATCTTTGCACGTGAAGTAGGCTAAGCAGGAAGGCTCGACCTGGACCTGTGGGCATTGAGATCAGATGAATTGGGAGTTGGCTATTGTGGGACAGAACATGCTAAGAGACAGTCATGGGGTAAATCACACCTGACAAGAGCACACGAGGCCAACAGGTTCCTAAAGAGCAGGTCCAATTAAACTGTAGGCACTGCTCTTGGTATCGCCTTTCAGAGTCCATTTAGCCTTCTCTCACTTTCCTCTTATTTTTAAAATATATTCTTATTGATTTCAGAGAGGAAGGGAGAAGAGAGAAACATCAGTGATGAGAGCGAAACATTGACCAGCTGCCTCCTGCCCGACCCCCACTGGGGATTGAGCCTGCAACCCAGGCATGTGTCCTGGCCAGGAATCAAACCATTATCTCCTGCTTTATAAGTTAATGCTCAACCACTGAGCCATACCAACCAGGCCTCTCATTTTCCTATTGAAAACCATCCTGATCTATAGCTATCGGCACGTGCTTCCGACAGTTTCCTCTGTCCTGTGGCTGCCCTGCATGGGGGTGAGGGTGCAGCTGGAGTCCTGCAAACCTCTGGCCATGGCCTTGGCTTAGCGATGGGCATGGAGCCCAGCTAGAGCCATGAGAGGCAGGGAGACAGACTTCTGCTGGGACGTGGGAGGGAGGCATTCTTTTTCACTGACCTTGAACCTAGAGGTTGCTGCTCTGCAGCTGCTGGCAGCCACTCATGACTACCCAGAGCCCGAGAAGGAAGCCAGCCTGGAGAACAGAGCCGAGAGGGAGAAAAGCTGGGTCCCAGTGGTGTTTGGATCCATATATCATGCCATCTGCCTTTGCTGGTAAATGCTCTTTTGGCTTTAACCCCATTTGATTTGGGTTTTCTATCATTTGCAACTAAATTATTCCAATCCACTGACCTACACTTTTATTTATTTATTTATTTATTTATTTATTTATTTATTTATTTATTTAAATATATTTTATTGATTTTGTACAGAGAGGAAGGGAGAGAGATAGAGAGTTAGAAACATTGATGAGAGAGTCATCGATCAGCTGCCTCTTGCACACCCTCTACTGGGGATATGCCTGCAACCAAGGTACATGCTCTTGACCAGAATCGAACCTGGGACCTTTCAGTCCCCAAGCCGATGCTCTATCTATTGAGCCAAACCGGTTTCGGCTGACCTACACTTTTATCTCCAATCCCTGATTAGCTCTTTTTCTAGAATGACTTACACAGTATTTGCTGATTTTTCACCCTTCACTAGCAATGACTGTTAAATTCCAAAAGCGTTAGAATAACCTAAACATCAATTCTAATGCTAACGACCTCAACCTAATTTCCCATAATATATAGACTTTGTCTAAAATGTGGCAAAAACCAACCAAGAGAGGCCCTGGGAATTGATTTGAAGGCCACTTGTTCCTAAGAGGCTTCACTCAAATGAATACCTGATTTCCTGCCTCAAGGGGCGAGAAACCAACATTAGCCACAGAGGGCGGGCTTTCCTACATCTTTATTGAGCCCTGACCTATTCCATCACAAATCGGAGTTATAGGACTGTAGTTTGGTTCTGCAAAATAACTTACTTCCAATTTTGATATGAGCAGCTTCAGAAAGCTGCCTCAAGTGGACTGTGGCTCTTGACTAATGACTTCATGGCCTACATCACCTCCATATTCACGCCTAATTTGAATTTCAGTTGATAAGATGGAGGCTGGGAGAATCCAAGATGGCGGCATAGGTAAACACCTAACTGCAGCCTCACACAACAATTTCAATAAAATACAACTAAAATACAAAATGGACATTATCCAGAACTACAGGAAAGTCGACTGACTAGAAATTCTACAACTAGAAGGAAAGAGAAAACCAGAAGGAAAATCAGAGGAGCTGTTAAAGCCTAAGGTACAGAGACATGTTGCGCACCCAGAGAGGACAGAGCCGGAAAGCAGGGAGAAGCTGAGTACCTGGCTGGAGTTCCCTAGCGGGAAGGAGATAAAAGCTCTGGACTGTGCTGAACCCCAGATCCGACGGCACTGAACCCCAGTTCTAGGCCAGACCCTGGGGACCCAAGCTCATACAGAAGGAATCTGTGATGTAAGGTGGAATCTCAGGGAAGCGGTGAAAGGCAGTCCCAGAGGCTCGCACATTGCGTGCAGAGGACGGACTGTTGACTCTGCTGCTAGATTGCCCTGGCGGGAAGGAGACAAAAGCTCCAGACTGTGCTGAGCCCCAGTGTAAACTGCACTGAACCCCAGTTCTAGGCCAGACCATGGGGACCCAGGTTCATACAGATAGAGCCTGGGCTATAAGGCAGAAACCCAGGGAAGCGGCAAAAGGAAGTCCCAGAGGTGCGCACATTGCGCGCAGAGAACAGACCGTTGACTGTGCTGCTGGATTGCCCTAGTGGGAAGGAGACAAAAGCTTCAGACTGCTCTGAACCCCACTTCCAATCCCACTTCCAACTGAACTGAACTCCAGTTCCGGGCTCATTGGGGGAGAGCCTAGACTGTTTGGTAGCAGGCGAAACTCGAGGGCACCTTTCTCTCAGAGGTGCTTGCAGCAAGTACTGAAGGACACTGAGGAACACTGAGACTCAGGAGCCTCATAGGGTGGGGCTGACGGAAGCCAAGGCTGTAGGCTCCACCCTGAAACTTGCCCCATCCAAGCTGAACACAGAGACTTTTAAGGCTACCAACTCAGGGAAGCTGTGA